CTAAGGATTGTAAATAATATAAAACAAAGGAGGGAATGGTATCAGAGCTTAAATTATGAACACCTGGTTTGAAGATGGCTAGGGACGACAGTGAGAGCCCAAAATTCATTTGCAGGGTCTACACATGGATTAAGCCTCTGGTGAATCCCCTCTTGATCATTGGGTTGAGATGTGACTAGTCCTGTTGTTAGGCAGAAAACATTGTGAAATCAATCAAAGCAAATGTAGTTAGGTCAAAATGTATTATTTCATCATTTGATCTCCTGCTTAACCCATTTTAGAGCTGGTTTCAGTTAAAAAAAAAGTGACAGGGAAATACATGTGGATGAAGCCCCCGGTGAATCCCCTCTGGCTATGGATCGCCTAGTTACCACGCAGAAGGCATTGAAGGTGGATTGCTGCAGGTGCGGTGAGGTTACAATATAGCACCCTCACATGTGATCTCCCTATGACCCATTTAACTATGTTCTAGTTCTTCATCTTTTCTGCCCTTTCAGGTGGGGTTTATGTCTGTGTATCTTGTTAAGCTTGCTCGTTTGTTGTTTAATGTTGTCCTGTGTATGACATCCAGGATGGGTGGCTCTATAGAGACAGTAACTGGATTGGGAGTACGGTGGGGGAGGTTGGGGGGAAATGGGAGCCAATAACGATGAGTACAAGAATGAAGAAAATACTCTAAAACTGATTGTGGTGATAATTGTACAACTTGTCTTGATGTGACTGAACTATTGAATTGTTTGATGTGTAAATATGCCAATAAAAATATTGGGAGGGAAAAAAGAAGCATGAGCACATTAAAAAAAGAAATGTAAAGACAATGGCTTTAGAATGTGACAAATAAATCTGAGATGTTAAACTAAATGAAGAACATGGCACCTGAATTGGAGGCACCTGGATACACTAACCATCTACAATATGCAGACGAAACAACTATGCTTGCTGAAAGTAAAGAGCCTTCATGTATTTACTAAGACTCAAATTTACACCCTTCAGTATGGATTACACCTCAGCATAAAGATAACAAAAATTCTTAAAACTGGACCAAAAAGCAACATAATGATAAATGGAAACAAGACTAAAGATGCCAGAGATTTCATTTTGGCCATTGGATCCATAAACAGTGAAAGCAGCAGTCAAAAAATCAAATGGCATATTGCCTGGGCAAATCTACACAAAAGACCTCTAAGTGTGAAGGTGAAAACCATTTGGGGAGGAGTTGGAGAGTACGGTCTACCTGATGGAAGCCTTGGTATTTTCAATCACCTCACATGCATGCAAAGCTGACAATGAATAAGGGAGGCAGAGGATGCCTTTGAATTGTTAGTGAAGAATAAAGTACTGCCAGAAGAACTTGTGTTGAAAATTTACAGCCAGAATGCTCCTTAGCCGTGAGGATGGCAGGCCGTCACCTCATGTACTTAAACACGGCACCTGGAGAAACCAAGTCCGGGAGGAGGGCCTCGGGCCTGGTAAAGTGAGGACCGAGGGAAAGAGGAAGACCCCGCAGAGGTGGACTGACATAGTGGTAGCAACCATGGGCTCAAACAGCAGCGATTAGGAAGCTGTGCCAGGACCAGACAGTGTCTCGCTCGGTTGTTACATTACAGGGTCGCAATGTAAGATGGAAATAACTTGATGACCCCTAACAACAACATATTTCCACTATAAGCCTTCATGATTCCGGATAGCATTCATTATAATCACTGATGATGGTTTTTAACAGCTCTTAGATGCAGTATCTGGCATGTATTAGGTATAAAATACTTTTGTGCCATGCAAACAGGATTAAAAATTAAATCACAAATTAAATCACACGACTATCAATTATACAACTGATGTCACTAATACTGAAAAATAAAGTTTTAGTAAACATTACATTATTTAGAAGGGATTATGTAAGTTCTTCAAGTAAAAGATTCATGGAAAACTAAATCATACCAAAATTATTCTGTCCACACCTAAATGTTGTAAGCTGGCACAAAGAAATAGTACCGTTTTCAAATCTGTTCACAGCCAAGGAAAAAGTTCTTCGATCTCAAACCACAGTCACTGTTAAACACTGCACTGCTGTCTTTGTCCTGGCCCCTGCCTGTTACGGGACTCCATTTCTGAGCTGGGGGACAAATAGGCTCAGTGTCTTTCTTACGGAGCCTGCTACACATCTAAAATACTAATCTTACAGTGCTGCCCGCCAAATTGTTGCAATCCTGACTTGAAGAACGATTATTCCATTTATCTCTGGCCCTGATACAAGTATGTGAGATCTGGTTTCCTGTGTAAATGAATTTTGTTTGAGAGCAGACTACTTAACAGTTGACGTCACTGGCCACCACACACTCCTACCTCTAAAATTAGACAGATTGTATGAGTTAAAACGCACCAGGGGAATCAGATCTCTGGGCTATGGAATTAGAGGCTTCACTTTGGCCACCAAAAACAAGAGCCTAATCTACCTGCCTTTTGTCAGTAAAAGGCACTCCTCTTCCCAGGCTTTTAGGCCAAATGTTCAAGTCGCAGGGGATTTCAAAATGCAGGGCAGCAGCTTAGAGGGACTTGCCATCCATTTGGCAAACTCAGCTTCATTCCAAAAAGAGACTGTTTTCTGGCCAGAAAGCACATAGACCAAACTACAGTAATTTGGGTCAAGCTGACATTCCCTACAATATACAACTGCCTCAGAGAATGATAATCACTAACAGAGAACACGCTGTCAGCATTTTCCGTAGAACTAATCAGACACTAACCCACAAATTCAAGAAGCCAATGGAGCACCACGGGGCCCTGGCTGTGCCATGAGTTAAGTGCTAATTTGCTAACCACAGGTCTGAAGTTCAAATCCACTAACAACAGTTCCTTGAGAGAAAGATGAGGCTGTCTGCGCCTGTAAAGATGCACACCTTCAGAAACCCTACGGAGTGGTTCTGATACGGTTTAACTAGGAGTTGGAATAAACTCCGTGACAGTGGGTTGCTTTGTCAGTAGTGTTGTTTGTTGTTTTTTTTCTTGAGTACCTGGGTGATTAGAACAGTTTAGCTCTGAACTACTTGCCACAGGGTTAGCAGTTCAAAGCCACCCAGAGGTATCTTGTAAGCCAAGCCTGGCTTCTGACAGCCCTGAAAACTCTACAGAGCCGTAGTTCTTCTCTGACATACAGAGCCATCATGAGTTGGGTATCACTCAATGGTAACTATCAATAATACCAAATTGAATATAAAGAAATTCAGTCCTGGATAAATCATAATGAAAATGGAGAAAACCAAAGACAAAAAAAGAGAAAAGGGAAATAAAACCGCAAACACATTCTAGGAGTTAAGCTCATCCTATTTAAGAATGAAGACCAAGTATATTCAAAAGGTAGTCGATAAGGACAATGCTTGGAATTGCTTAATTTACCCATGGCACAGTTGACTCGGGCTCTTAAATTACTTCATTACTTAAATTACTTACCAGACATTTGGCACTCAATTTGAGAAGCAGCAGTTTGACCCTAACCAAACAGCCAATTTCCTGGAAGGGGAAAACGAAGCTTGCTACTCATTGGAATGATCTTGACATAACCCTTCCTTTCTGACAAGGTCATAGAATTTCCCTAAGTGGTAAAGGCATCAAGACTTCAGTTGAGAAAGATAATTGGGCAGTCTCTGCTTTCAGCCTCTGACAAATTATTAACAGCTCACTGCAGGTTCTACGGGCAAGCTTTTACAAGGACCCTCTATCTCAGCTCAATTCCCTGCATCAAAGAGAGAGGTCACACTTGCTACTTCCTTTCAAGAATTTTGGGTACTCTCCAAGCCAGCACACACAATGAACAAAACATGGGGCAGGACACCAATTGCATCTCACACAAGCAGTTATTGAGAATTCTGGCCACCAGGTCCCACCCTGACTCCGGTGGCGGGGGTGGGAGGAGGGTTCCCAAGCCAGACCTACTCAGTCACAAATTGGGGGTGGGACCTGAGAATCTGCAATTTTTACAGCTCCAGGGCATGTTTTCTACGAAAGCTTAAGAACTACTGTTATGTATGAATGACCCTCCCTTTCCTCCACATCTCCTTTACGCCTCCCCATCCTGTAAAAGCTTATATTCATGTGGGCCTCCATCCAACTCATCAAAAACCCAAACGTATTGCTGTCCAATAGATTCTGACTCAGCCACCCTGTAGGGCAGGGCCGAACTGCCCCCTAGGGTTTCCAAGGCTGTTACCTGTCCACAACAGGCAGTCTCATCTTTCCCACTATGGAGGTGCTGGTGGATTTGAACCACTGACCTCTCAGATAGCAGCCGAGTGCTTAACCCGCTGCATCATAAGGGCTCCTCCACCAACTCACAAACTAGGGGAAAAAAACAATAAACGGCTATCGAGTCGATGCCAACTCATAGCGACCCTAGAAGGCAGGTTTGAACTGCTTCTTTGAGTTTACGAGACTGTGACTCTACAATAGTCTTTCTCGCGCAGAACGACTGGTGGTTTCGAACTGTGGACCTTGCGGTTAGCAGCCCGACGCTAACAACATCTCCACCAGTACTCACAGGGCGTCTCAACAAGACGCTCCAACTCTCGGCCTCAGGTTTCCTCATCAGCAACACAGGTGCGCTAGTTTCTTTTTAGTAGAACGGTCATTCGCATAGCAACTGACACAAGGGACATAATAAACGTTTCCCATCTCGTACGTAAATTCAACCATTTTCAACCCGGCGTCCTCACATCTCCCGAGTACGGAGCAGAGCCTTCTCCTCGGGGCGCTGGGTGGCCCCGTAGCAGAGGAAGTGGAGGAGAGCCGCAAGTGGCCCGTCTTAAAGGGTCGGGAGCCACCCCCACGCGACCCAGAGGCCTCACCGGCCGGTTGCAGCAGGTCCCCGGCGTCGGGGACTTGGATACGGGACGAGTAAATGGACAGAGGGGAACAGGCCGCTAACTTCTGCCTCAGCACCCCATCTCCTTAGCAAAGAAAGAGGAGCCCAGGTTTAGTTGCCTGGCTGGAGCCCAGGCCGCACTCACCTACAGGTGCGCGGGAGGCGACACTCTCACCCCAGCGGCGCCTAGCCCTAACCGCCACGGCAAAGGCCACTCGCTCTTTGAAAAACAAAAAGAGGGAGTAAGAAAAAGAAGCCAGCCTTTGCTTTTGTATTTCTTTTGACCCTTCAGGGCTTCCTCTTCCTCGCCGCCACGGTAAAGTCCCGCCCCGTTTCCGGCAGCGTCACCCAATCCACAGCTCTCTTTCTCCCCGGTAGCGCGATGGAAATCCGGTGCTCCCAAAGAAAGCCAGAGAGACGTGATTGGACCAGCCACATCTCGGCAAGAGGATTGGCCGGCCCTTGCTCGAGGGGCGGGGCAGAGCGCCCGGTCGCGTGATCGTATTCACGAACAACAATTGGCTCTTGTGAAGAGGGCGTGTCTCCGACGAAGGGGCGTCTCCTAGGGGACTGAGGGAGGGCCGGGCCGGGCCGGGGCGGTGCGAAGCGGGGGTGGGCCCAGCGCGTAATGGCAGCGCCGTGGCCTCGCGTCCATCTTTACCGCTCCCTGGGACCTGTCACAAAGGAGTCGCACCGCCGCCGCCCCCTCCCTCCGGTGGGCCCGGGAGCTGGAGAAAGTCAGTGCCTCGGCCCGGCCGCGTTACTCGGGGAAGCCCCTGGGGACGCGGAGAAGGGGTGGGAGTCCAAGGGCTGGGGACTTTAGAGAGGAACGGGAACTGCCTCCCGAACCTGGGGTGGGGAGACCGGACTGGGGTCGAGAGAGACTCCGGGAAGGGGCCCGGGAAGAGGTGGCCTTGGGCTGAGCCCGGGAAACACCCTGGACGTTCCCCGCCGCGGCCCGCGCTGAGGGCGCCCCGAAGAGGCTCCTGCAAGAGGGTGTTCCCCCCCTTGGGGGGTCTTGGCCGGAAGAGGCTCTAGAGGGTCGCCTTTCTGAGGAGGCCACGCCGAAAAGGGCGCAGGTGAGAGGCAGGTAGCTTCTGGGGAGGCTCCTGGGGCGGAGGAGAGTCCCCCAGGTGCCCGGGGGAGAGGAGAGGGTCGGGCAGGTTGCCTGTGGCAGAGTTTGTGCTTTGGGAGCACAGGTGGGCGGTAGACCTGCCCCAGCGAGACTTGGGAATGATTTGGGGGTCTAGGAACACTTCAGAAAGAGGGGGGAGGAGGTGGGAGCCGGAGCTAGCGGATTCTTCCCTGGAGGCCTGAGCTAGAAATTGGGTAAGGGCCTTGGGGGGTGGAGGGTGGCGGTTTCTGGGAAGTAGCACCTTCTCCTCCTCTCCTCTCCGGAGGGGGAGAAGGGAGCGGGGAGCGGGGATGGCAAGGTCCGTTCCTTCACTCTGGAAACCGACCAGGTGTCCCAGACAGAAGATTCAGCTACTTCTGGGCGTAGTGCGGAAACCCGCCCCTCCACCCCCACCCCGCACACACACCCTCTGCGTGGTTTGGGTTAGCCGTTTCTCCCTGCCCGTGGCCTCAGTGTCCCTGTCTATGACAAAGGAGGCCGGCACAGGTAGTCCACGGAGACTCTGGAGTCCTATCCTGGGCAGTGGGCTAGCTGCCTGAGGTTGTCCCCCGGAGTTGTACTTTGAACTTTTTAATCTCTGGAAGTGCCTGTGCCGCGATGCCCGGCTGTGTTGCCTGCGGTTGATGGTCGGGTCCCGGGAGTCCGAATTGACCGGAGGGCATCTCACAACAACAGTGGTGTCTCCAGGCCCCGCACCTCCCGTCTGCAGCCCTTAGACCAGTGGCTGATGGCAGTCACCTTGGGTCTCTTCCATGAAATGTGCCCTGTGTGAAAATTCCGTGTGAACTCCAGGTGGTGTGGGAGTTAAGTTTTGTGATTCCACCACCGTCCGGCTGCTGTTGGGGGAAGTGAAGGACTTTCCTCGCTGTATGGTCCACCCATCTACGGTGGTTGTTGATCAGCCGGGAGGACTGGGGGGGGGGGGGGGCAACCGCCCTTGAAAGCCTCAAGGGTTGCTACTGCCTAGGCCGAATTACAATCTACACCCAGGATTGCAGCCTCTTTGTCGATGGGAGTCAGGGGCTGGGTGGATTTCCAGGTTTTGTTCCCAGAGTCTGCATCTAATTTGAACTTCTGATGGTGCCTGCAGAATAAATCTTTGCCTTAAGGAAAATTTCCCTGGATAGCTGGAATTCTCCTCCTAGTCATTTGCTCTCAATGTTGCGAACCGCATCCCTTTTTTATAGGTATTCAGTGGGCTTTGGATGCCTACAGGTAGTGATTAGCATGCTTCCGTCCTCGGTGTGATGTCAGGGATGTGGCTTCCTTTTGTCCCCCCATGGGCATCATGCCTGGCCGCAGCTGTCTCAAAGTCTCCTTTGTGAAGACACACTGGCACTCACTTTTCTCCTCTATCCCGGTTCCCTCTGCTTTTCCATGCCATGTCATTTACTGGGATGGCCCTTGCTCTGCAGACCTCTCCATGAGGCTACAGGATACTTGTTTCTGTGTGTCACATTGCCTTAATGGTCAGTTAGTGGGATTTGTGAGAGCTGGCTCCCCAAATATTAGGTAATTGATTTGGTGATTTTTTTAAAATCCTTGTTTTGTGGTTTAGATTTTAGTGTTTTGTTTGTTTTTAAGCCAGAGCCAAAAAAACTGATCTGCATCTGTTGTTTCACTCATCTGATACTCCCAGAGTCTTAAAACAGCAACAGCAACAATACTGGGTGGGCTTTCTGATTTCTCAGGATAAATATTGTGCTGACCTACTAATGACTGTCTCTTTATGCCCTGCTTTATGCTGGATTCACAACCCCCTCATTTCTGAACCCCCATGATTATTTTTAAGTTATCGATTATAGGAAGTGTTCCACATTCTCTATGTGGACTTTTTTCTGCTTTGTCAGCAAAATACCTTATCATTTAGTAAATGGGCCAAGCATTCAAGGGGAAGTGAAAACGTAATATCTTGTTTAATAATGTTATTCTATCATGAATAGGGCAGAAAACAACAGCCCTGAAGTATATTTTGGCCAGAGTTTAACAAAACAATCATTGTATGTTCCTGGTGCTCATGTACAACAGTCTCTTTCAACTCCACGAGCCTGATTTAGCCCATCAGGAATTGTGTGTACTTTCTCAAAGACTGAAGCAGTTTGTTAGCTAAAGTAGGAAGTCCCTCTGCCATTTTTCACTCTCTTTGATACTCTAATATCTATATAACCCCACTGCCATCAAGTTGATTCCGACTCATAGCAGTCGTAAAGGTAGAGTAGAACTGTTCTTTAGCGTTTCCAAGACTGTAAATCTTTGTGGGAACAAAGAGCCTCATTTTTCTCCCTAGTTGAACTGCCAGTTAGCATCCTATGCTGAACCCAGTTGCCCACTCAAAACTCATTGTCATTCAGTTGATGCCGACCCAAGTGGCCCTATAGGACAGAGAAGAACTGCCCCATGAGTTTCTGAGACTGTAACTGTTTACGGGAGTAGAAAGCCCCATCTTTCTCCCAAGTTGCAGCGGTAGTTTTGAACTGCTGACCTTTCAGATCGCAGCAGCCCAACTTGTAACCACTACACCACCAGGGCTCCTTAACATGTATGTAGTTTGGAACAATTATTAGCAATTCTTTAAGATGATCAGTGTTCCCACTCACTGCCATCGGATTACTTCCAACTTTTAGTGAGCCTCCAGGGATGGGTAGAACTGCCCCTTTGGGTGTTCAAGGCTGTAAATCTTTACTGTGGCAGAACTCCTCCCATTTCTCCTGCAGGGTAAGTAGCTGGTGGGTTTGAACTGCTGGCCTTGTGGTTGGCAGCCCAACGTGGAACCCACTATGCCACCAGTGCTCATACTTGTTTAAATTGGATCTTTTCTTTCTTTTTTTAAACATTTTATTAGGGGCTCATACAACTGTTATCGCAATCAATACACGCATCAATTGTGTAAAGCGCATTTGTACATCATTCTCAAAACATTTTCCCTCCACTTAAACCCCTGGCATTAGGTCCTCATTTTCCCCCTCCCTCCCCGCTCCCCCTACCTCATGAGCCCTTGATAGTTTACAAATTGTTATTTTGTCATATCTTGCCCTGTCCGACGTCTCCCTTCACCCACTTTTCTGTTGTCTGTCCCCAAGGGAGGAGGTCACATATAGATCCTTGTAACCGGTTCTCTCTTTCCTACCCACTCTCCCTCTACCCTCTGTTTCGCCACTCACACCACTGGTCCTGTAGGGCTCATCCGCCCTGGATTCCCTGGATTTTCAGTTCCTATCTGTACCAGTGTACATCCTCTGGATCTTTTCTGTATTTTGTGGTGAGATGTTTTAAAGTGGGATTTGATAATCACATAGTTGCAGAAGCCAGTAAACACTGTAGGTGGTAGCCACAATGGAACCGATTAGCTACTTTAAAAGAGTTATTCCATTTATCCCCTCTTCAAGCTTTTGACATCTTCAAGGCCCGTGCCATTGAATTAAAAATCCACTGTCATCGAGTTGATTCCAACTTATAGTGATCCTGAAGGACAGGGCACATCTTCCCCATAGGGCTCGCAGGGCTAAAATCTGTACAGAAGCAGGTTGCTCCATCTTTCTCCTCAGAACAACTGGTGGATTCAGTTAACAACTGAGTGCTTAAACCCTGTGCCACCAGGCCTCCCTTCACTATTAGGTATTTTCCCCTCTATGTTCCTATTAGGTTATTGAAAAGCCAAATCACTAAGAAGTGAATGCCAAAACTTAGACCACAACATTTAGGAGACTTTTGACACTTTTCAGAAGTGCAAAAGAACACTTAATATCTCTTTGGCTTATTTATTCAGTAAGTTGGCTCTTGGAATTGTTTTCTGGCCAACCTATATGATTAGGGAAAGAGTACAGATATGTTGTGTATTTGAATAGTTGTGCCTATTCCAAAAGGGATTGTTTGCTAATTAAATATGTAGTAAAAGCGATAACTAGATATGTGCATGACAAATCTAAGGCTAAATCAGGTGAAGATATTTTGTAAGCAACAGTTGGGTTTTTAGGGAGCCCTGGTGGCATAGTGGTTACAAGTTGGACTGCTATCCACAAGGTTGGCAGTTTGAAACCACTAGCTGCTCCGTGGGAGAAAGTGTGTTGTACTGCTGGAAACAGTTACAGTCTCCAGGGAACAGGTCTACCCTGTCCTACAGGGTCTCTATGAATCAGCATTGACTCGAGGGCAGTGAGTGGAGGAAGGGGGCTGTTTAAGCAAGGTTCTTACTGTCTCTCCAAGGTTTCAAAAAATATAAATGAGATAGCAAGGAATGGATTCTTAAAATTTGCTAAGGCAAAAATTCTGCACATAGCTTTCTTATTACTAGAAGTTACAGCTTCCAGGCCATTTCATGGTACCTATCTACACTCATAGAAGAGATTTGTAAAGATTTTTTAAAGATTTACTAAAATGTGGCATTCCTAAACCAAAACTACCACCATATTAAGATTTACTGAATGCTTTAATGCCTTATTCCCCAGGCACCAATGTAGAGCTCTGCACAGATGATGTGTAAAACAGGAATTCCTGTAATATCCCAGAAAGAGGGAGGGCTGCATTTGGGGCGTGAAGCATCAGTATTGGACTCATTGATTTTGTATGTCTTTGTGTTGATTCTTATTATTTTTATATTTTTTGTTTCACTAAAATTACCATTCAATTTGTAGGTTACACTTTGGACTGCTAACCACAAGGCTGGCAGTTTGAAACCACTGCTGGTCCTCAAGAGAAAAACCAGGCTTTCTGCACCCATAAAAATGTACAGCTTCAGAAACCCCAGGGGCAATTATATTCTGACCTGTAGGGTCAGTATGAGGAGGAATCAACTGTATGGTAGTGCGGTGTTTTGTGTTGTTTCCCTGAGTGTTTTCTGGTTCATTGTGAGGAGGTGCAGGGCTGGGCGATGGTTCCTTTTATTGTCCATAGGGTCTCTGAGTTGGAACCGATTCTCAGCAATCCACGGGGGGCTGGCCAGGATTT